CAACCCTCATTGTATACTCCTATGATAAAAATAATGCCCTAAAATATAATACTTTTAGACTATTCTCTCCCCCATAGACTTCAATGCCGTAAACATATTTCTTAATGATACCTCTTTCTGGATGTGATTCTTGCGGAGAACCAGGAGAAAGCCTATGATCTCTACTAAGTCCAAGGTGATCTATGGTTAAAGAACTGACTTCCTAGTAAACGTGAACAGGAAACTTGAAATCCTCAGGTCCCCAAATACCCTATCTGTGCAGTGTCTATGGCTTAGTGGTAAGGATTTGTGTTGCCAACTCAAAGGAACCTGACTCAAATCCACTAGCTACTTCCCAGGAGATAGAAGGACAATCTCTCCCATGTGGTTTACTGCCTCTGAAAAATCTTCTGGGGTGTCAGCTATGAGTCAGTTTCAACTGGAAAGTACTCAACAGCAACAGGCTGATAATAGAATAGGATCTGTAGGGTGTTAAACTGCTTCTACATGATTAGAGCTGCTTTCCAGAAGTGTGTCTTTACATTGTAGAAATGAAAAGCTACTTTATGACGCTGCCCACCTATGGAGTTATATCTCTTAAACACTTCACTGTGGCAGACACTTAATTTTATGTCTGGGTTTCTAGCTTGCCTTTCTATGGCAATATCACTTTCTTTCTGGTATAGGAATCTTTTACTTTTTTTTCTTTTTCTTGTGCCCTTTTTTGACATGTGTTCAACCCCTGACTTGGCATTTCATATTAGATCACTAAATTTTTCTTATGCTTCTGTACATACACAGTCCATCTGAACCCATTCTACCTCCCATTCTTCTACATTTATTCTTGTTTCAGAAGGACTAGAAAATACTATAGGGTAAGAGACTAATGCTAAAGACAATTTGTCAGTGATAGCAGAGAATAAAAATCTTAGTGTCTATGCCTGGACCTACAATTACTCAAAACTAGATTTTTTGTTGAGTTGTTTTCTTAAGGGTTTAGATGACTTTTAGCTTAACTTCTCTTAAAAATGTGTTCTTGCTAAAAGTGTGTGTTTGTTTAGAAAATAAAACTCTAGAGCTAATGGATCCAAGTGCATTTTCAAAAGTTAAGCTACCCAGGCAGGTTCATCATTCTTCATAAAAATCCAATCTGTGGCAATCCCATTATTGTTTAAGGCATTTGGGTGCATATTTATTTGACAATATAGATGACCTGGAAAACATAATATCAGATCTGCATAATACCTATCCAAATCTTAGCTGAAAGAAGAAGTATTCAAGGAGCATTGCTTTAAGAATATGCCGGTGAATCTATCCATTTCTCTGGGTTGGTTAACCTTGATAGGACGTTGGGTTCAACTAGGGAGCTTTGAAAAATATCAATGCCTGGGCCCCATTCCTAGAGGTTCTGATTTAATTGGCCTAAGGTGTGCATCAGAGAGTTGGACAATGACTAGGGAGGATAGAAGGAGAATTGACGCCTTTGAGCTGTGGTGCTGGAGAAGAGTATTGAATGTACCATGGACTGCCAAGAAAACAAACAGATTAATCCTGGAGAGGGTTAAACCAGGCTACTCCTTGGAGGTAAGGATTCTGGGGCTTCGTCTGACATACTTTGGACATGTTGTAAGGAGAGACAGGTCCTTGGATAGAGACATCATGCTTGGTTGGGTGGAGGGACAGCGCAGGAGGGGAAGCCCCTCTGTGAGGTGGATTGATTTAGTGACTCGGGTACTCGGGATGGGTGTGTCAGAGGCCGTGCAATTGGCACAGAATAGAGCACGGTTTAGGGCTGTTGTACATAGGGTCGCTATGAGTCACAAACGACTCGACGGCACATAACGACAACATGCATCTCAGGTACTGAAACTTTTTAAAAGCTTCTCTGGTGAAGATTTAGGATTATTTGGATTGGATAGTTTTAATGTTTTTGTGGCTTATGGGACATATATCATCCACCTTTGATTTGAGTCTCTCAGGTCTCTTGGGAAGTTCCTATCCCACTTTTATAGTAGATACCACCTTCAGAGACCTGAATAACTTCATAAATCTGGAAGAAATGGACCTCATCCCACCAATCTTAACACCACACTTAAAACATGGATGTCCTATATAATTGTTTCAAAATCCATTTTACCTAAAAAAAAAAAAGTCCCTTGATTTCACTGTGCCTTCCATTAACTGAAAATACATTGTCTCAAATAAAAATTTAAAGCAGAAAATAACTAGATCATGTAAATGTTAAAAAAGTTGCGTCTCCTCTTCAGGAGATTCTAATTTGATTAATCCAATAGAGGGTTCAAACATTGGTAGCTTTCAACAATTTTGTCAGTGATTCTATTATGTAGTCAAAGTTTAAAGCCTTGTTTTAGTTTAACATCTGTAATTGGGAAGTTTTTGTTTCGTTTTATGCAGATTTTTCTTTTATTTGTAATGTAGCATGTTGATCTCAGTGTAGACTTGCCTTTACTGAAATGCGCCTTGGTGGCATGCTGTCATTCTGTGTTGAGGATGCTATGAGAAACAGTCCCACGGAACTCACTGCTGTGACTACTGAGATGTTCATTATATTTTACTTTCTTCTTTGTAAGGACTCTTGGGAGAAATTTCTCTCTTAGCATTGGAAATGGTATGCTTTTTCAGAACAGTTAGATTGCTTTATCTTTAGGATATTGTGTAACTGATCAAGTTTCTCTTTTCACATAAAAATTGGAGATCTTAGTGATGAATATGTAACTTAGATAAAATAATTATATGACCCTTGACCCTTTGCGATGTGCCTTTTGGATGCCTTTATTCGTCATTTTTTTTTGTTTGCTTTTGCCATTTTTGCCTACTTTGAATTGGTGACCTTAATATATCTTAGGTATTGCTATGCTCTGCCTTATTTCTTGAAGATGGAACATAAATAAATAAAATTACAAAGTTAGTCTTGCTGATTTGGAAGTTGAAGAGTACGAATTAGAATGGGAGTGTGTGTGTTGGTTGGGTACCATATATGAGTTTAGGGCTGTTGTACATGGGGCACTTTGAATCACAAGTGACTCACGATATACAATAACTTCTCTTTTTTTCTTTTTATTGTATTATTTTTACGTGTACCGTCAAATCAGATCTGACTGGTACAGGAGGAGATTGCCCCCTCCTTCTCCAGCAGAGCATCTGGTGGATTTGAACCGCGTACTTCTGGGATTGCAGTGCAGCATCTTGCCACTAGGCCACCAGAGCTCCCTTGGGTACCATATATGAAACCACCCATTCTTGAATATATGGACCCTAGACTGGCTTCACTTTGTAGGAGTCATCTCGTGGGCAACAGCAAAGATCCTGTATTGGTAAATGCTCATAGATGATTTCTTACTGAGCATAAACAGTCCCGTTAACCCCGTGGACTTGTATGTTGGGCCCTGTCCTAGACATAAGTCTTAAAATCTTTACCCTAAAGAGTTATACATGTTTTAGTGATAGAAATGTGGTAGGAGCTGTGGCAACTCACAGGAGGTGTGTTGAAGATTGCAGCATAGCTTCTTACCACGGGGCCACCAGAGCTTACAGGAGGTATATTATAAAGTGCTTGAAATCTACTTTTCAACTGTTCTTCTGTATTAGTTTTATTCAAGGAGTATTTCCATTACCCTTGTAAGCTTGTTGTTATTAGCTGCTGTCAAATTAGTATAAAACCAAGAAAGGGCCTGCAGAAAGCTGAAGGAGGATCCATATCTCACAACATACATCTACCTAGGGGTAGAGCCCCAAACTATAAAGATCATAAGAAACGAAGGAGGACCAAGCTTAGAAGGCCTAGCCCATGGAATAAAAAGGGTGGCAAATATAGCCAGAAATGCACAGCCGGGAGAGGATAAAATTGATGAATGGGGCTTTCTAAAAGTTAAATCTCTGTACACATCAAAAATTTTTTTCCAGCAGTGTGAAAGGAAAACTT